TGGAGCTGGAGCCCTGGCCCCCTCCATCCCCATCGCCAACCCCGTCCCCGACGGCCCCCCGTCCAGGTGGCCACCACCCAGCTGGATACCATGGACTCTGCCCGTCCCAAGAGAAACCTCATGCCTTTCTCCTTTGGCTGAGCCGTTTCAAACATTTGAACAGGTGAGACAGCTCGCTTCCATCTTCTTTAAATCCCTCCTGGGAAGTTTGCTTGTGGCCCAAGTAGTTACTCCCAGAGTATGTGTGTGCACTCCTCACGCTCTCTCCCCCAGTAACTCAGAAAATATTTATCGACATTTCACCCTCTCCCCAATATTTCCATTCCCTCTATCACATTTTTCTTCTCCCACTATTATGTCACTTTCTCTCTGTATCTGTCTCGCTTCTTTCATCTCACTTTACCCTAAGTTTGGCGGTAACTGACGACTTGTGGGCATTTAGCTGCAACATGCAATTATTTAGCAAACAGGATTTACTGAGCCTGGAATGTAGTCGGCCTAGGGCAGGACCCTGCTCAATGTCAGGCTCCCGCCCAGGCCCTTCCCTTCGCCTCCTTTCCTCCCCGGAGGTTGCGGGCTGGCGCTACTGTCCTCCCGGAAGGAGGGAAGCCGCGGCCGGTTTCCCAGCCGAGAGTGGCAGCGGGAAAGCAATCGATATTGAGCGGATGGGCCGGTGCAGGCGCCAAACGTAGAGGCTGCAGCCCGTCGGTCCTGCACGTCTCATCATTTAGCTAATCGAGTCGAAAAGTTTCTGTAAGGGCCGGACCCAGCATCAGATGGTAACACTGATTGAACAAGAGATTAGCACAATAGATCTCTAACCGAGGGGAAGCGTTGCTTTTCACGGTACGCACCGTAATTAATGGTATGAATCAATTAATTTGACTTTTATTGTGTCGAAGGAAAAAAGCGCAACAAATGGAACTGGCGGCTGGGAGTTGTTCAGCCCCCGCTTTCCCCCAGGGAGGTTACAAAGAGGCACCGGGGAATGGACGGTTCCGTCTCGGTCTTGGCCGGGGAGGTGAGAGGCAGCGACCAGCATCGCCCAGGGAATCCTGCGAGCCAGCCCGGGCGGGACAGCGGAATCCAAATTAGGCTCATTGAGACGCAACCTCCAGAAGACTGCGGAGGGCGGCCCCCGAAGCCGCCACCCTCCCGTGCGCGCACACACACACGTGCACTGGTTCGCGCCGGCCCAGCCTCCTAGGCGCACGGTGGCTTGCGCTGCGGCGGCCCCAGCCAACCACTGGGGCTGGGTACCGCCGCCGATGAAAAGGAATTCCTGAATTTGTAAATTTCGGTTTTCTTTTTTGTCCTCCCGAGCTTCCTGTTGTGGTGTTTGGGTTACTCGGACAGTTGCAGCCACGACCCCTGCATCTGTGGGTAGTGGGCAGCCAGCTCACACTCTGGCCGTTTTCGCGGGAGGCTGTTCAGAAGGCATTGTAAACGGTTCGAAAGCCTGCGGGCCACACAGCTGTGCAGCTGGGAAGTCAACGCAAGAGAAGCATTTTAGAGTCAGGTGCAACCGGGGGGTCAATTCAGGTACAGGAAAACTTGGATGGAGCAACGCCCCCACTTCCCCCCAGCCCCAACCTGGGAAGTCCTGCGAAGTGGGGAGCCAATGGGTTAGTGTTACAAATCCAGGAAATTATCGAATGGAGATGAGAGTCAATCTGTGTGATAAACTGCCAATAATGAAGTAAGTTTACTGATTGGGGTGGGGTGGGTGTCTAGGCCAAGGAAAGAGAGGGGGTCCTCGGTGAGCGAGACAGATGGAGGGAATCAGAATACCACTGTCCACCAGGAATTTAATCGGTTTCCTAGTGTGTCCTGTAAATATTTCACTAATTATTTGTCCTCAGACCTCCTCCCCTTTTGCTCTTAGCTCTGATGAGGCCGGCGTTCCCCTCTCAGGCCTTAGCGGACAGGCTGGGTTGGTTTCCAGGAGCCCACCACACCCCGCAAGCTATGAGACGGCCTAAAAATGCAGGAGGGAAGAGGTGGCGCGTCGCGGATTCACCGCTCAGAAGCACTATTCGGAAGTGCCAGGTCCATGCGCCCCAAGTAACTCCCCGTGGAAGTTACCATCACTCCTACCATCACTGTCTTTCCTTGCCAAGGACACTCGGCATGCACGGTCTGCATCCTCCACCTGTCCTGCTGCCGACTGCCGAGGAAGTTACGTCTTGGAAGGTTTCTCTAAGTCTTAAGAGGAAAGAATCCGCGTTAGTTAGCAGCAACTGAGAGCCTAGCCCTCCGTCAAGCCCCAGGCCACCCCCGCTCCCAGGAGGCTGGGCCCAGCCAGCGGGGAAGTCACACCACGGGCTCCCGGGCCGTCTAGTGCCGTCCTAGCCCGGACGCGGCATCTAATCTAAAGGCCCAAAGTCTCTTCCCAGCCCGACTCAACTTACCCAGGCCGCTGCCAATCCCGGCTCCTTCCCGGCACTTCATTTCCGATTTTTTCCCCCCACATGCTAAGTTGTTTAACAACTCCGGAGCAGCTAGTTATGGCTTCTTTATTTATAGGTTCCCTGTTATTTTACGTCGTTTTTATTTCACTCGGCAACTATTCTAATAGATTAATCAATAGCCATTTTCTGACCTTCGGGAACCCCAGCTGAGGCTGTCTGGACGCGGGAAAAAATACATATATATATGAACATGCCAACAACGAGAAGGCAAAGCCAAGCCGGCGGTCAGGGTTTTGGGGAGGGGAGAAGGGGAGAGCGTCCCCTGGGTAGATGTTTCCACTGAATAAGCCCTGAGACAGGAGGAGGGGTCTGAAGTCTAATTTGCAAAACGGAGCCGAGTGTGCAGCCCTTACTCTTTAAAGCAAAAAAGAATAAAAACAAAACAGACTAAGTTTTTCTTTTAAAAGGGAGGGGTGGGAATCTTGTTTTTATGCTTCCCAGTCCCTGCCAAGGAGTGCCGCTATAAGCGGGGGAGGGGGGA